TCAGCAAAAGTACAAAAATAGTCTGATTTAGGACGGTGGCACATTTGCTACTCAATGCTACTGAAATAGATCCAACAGGCAGATTAGTTAAAAATCTTTCTTGTATTTGCTGGATTCTCTATACCTTGCAATATGACCAATATCTTTTTCCATCTGTTGGATGATTAACATGTCCACAAAATCTCTCTGTTTGGCAACTTTTAGACCCTATGTAACCAGGTTGAACCCAAATCAAATTTGTGCCTTGTAGGTTGGGAAAGGACCTGTGAAATGTTCACTTTATAAAATTGGTTTCCAAGACAACATTTTTAAGGACTATTTTTGAAAAGGAAGTGAAAGAGTTTAATTGTGATATTTATAATTTCATTTTTCTAGAAAAAAATATAGGAAACTAGACTCTTTTCAACGAATCTCCAATGATTAACTGAAAATATAATTAAGATGGGCTTTCTCCCTTTGCTCGCCAGGACTTCAGTAACAAGTACTGCATTCATAGTGACAAAAACAGCAGAATCACTTTAGTTCACAAAGACAGATGGAGCAAAAAAGTGACATTTTCCAGGTCTGATCTGTTAGAAAATATTTCAGCTAATGGAATCCAGGAGGGCTGCTTTTCATGATCTGTATTCAGTCATAAGAAATCCCAAGATATAGCAAGTCATTAATCTCAGAAACACTGTATTTGTACACACTATGCTATTTTTACAAAATGCAATTTTTTTCCTTTTCAAAGTGAAATATGCTAAGCCATTTATAGCCAAAAAGAAAGGTTTGTATTGGATTACACTCTTGGAATGTGTCTTGAAAGAGAAACAGAATGCCCTATTTTCCACTGCATAAGAATAGAATCGGCATTAAACGTAATCCTCATATGAAATGGGTATGATGAAAAACATTCAATTTGCTGGGTTAACATGAACTGAAAACACCAGCCATATTTCAGGTGAAGGCAAATAGCACTGTCTGTTGTCAAAGTTTCTTTTCACAATACTGCAATGCATACTACAACTACTACTTGCATTTAATATAGCACCATTCACGAAGGGTAGTTCCTCAGCGTGCTATATAGTGGTGGTGGATTTGGACACCGATGTGTCAGGGGCTTCAACAACAACAACAAAATTACACTTATAGAGCGCCTTTCACGTCAGGAGGACGTCCCAAAGCGCTGAACAGTCAGATAAACAGATGTCTGTCCTGAAATTGCCCCGTCCAACTCTCAAACCTCTTCCATTGCCCTCTTGTTCCACCCTCTTCAGCTCCTGTTAACCCTGCGAGCCAAAGCCCTAACGGGTAGGGTGGTCCTTGCTGGACAAGCAGCAGGAAAACTTGCCAGACAGCGATATCAATGGCAAGCTAAACTCCAGCAGTTACCCTAACATATTCTTGGGTCATGAAGCCTTGTCTCTTGCCAACCTACGCCTACCTAATCCCCTCTGTACTTGGGTGAGCAGGATGCTTCCCTCCAGGGAGAGGGAGAGTGCAGGTTCCAGTCCAACAATCTATCTCTGGGGTTTCCATGTGAAGGTCGGATGCGTGGAAATATCAGCTTGGTTTGGATACTCTTAAGCACGGCGATAGTTTTCTGCAGGTGTCAGACACCCAGCTGACTCCCCCACCCCAAAAATTAAAAGATTAAAAGGACTGATGTGATCAAATAAATTATAGAAGCAGTGCCTGGATGAGGTAGTGTGTCCCTGGAGCCAAATTTGCCGTCTTGAGTTCAGCAATAATGAATTGAGTAAGAATAATAAAATTCTAAAACAGATACACTCATCGAAGAAATACAGCCATTAATCCAACAAACTTCTCGAGTACTGCCAGCATCAGGGATTGTGGAGAGTGCAATATTTTTTATACGTTTTCAAGCGTTTGGCTTACAAAACTCTTGATTATGACCCACCATTTGGTCGAGTTTCCTCCTCCCATCCGCATCGTATCTCATGTAAAACCTGGAACATCACACTGGGGAGACTCACTTGCCTTGTTCTTGTCCAGTGATGGTTGGATCAGGGTTGCCGTAAATTAAAATACGTTTGTAGATTCCTATGTTCTTAGTTTGGGACATGACATGTGCATGCGACTGCCAGGATGGTTGAAGGTGAACTGGATAGATTTTGGTGTCTTTCTGTGGTCTTCTAGCAAGTCCTATGTTCTTACCTTGGGATTACAGCCCAAAATCCACCAAATAAATTTCTCCAAAAATAGCTCAATATTATGGATTGCCTGTTGTGGGTAGCAGATTTAGGCCAATTTAGGTTAGTGCTTCTCAAACCACAAGGGTGGTGGGGGGGGGCGTGCGTGGTGTTGTTGGAAGGGAGGGGTGAAGTTTTGACGGTTTAAATTTTTAAAAAATGCATGCACAGCATAACAAAAATTCAAAGCCCTCACAATACTATTTTGCTTGAGAATCGTATCCCTTTCACCACTCCCTAAATCTACTTCATGTCACAAAATACAGTCAATTCACTTTACAACAACAAAAAAATTACATGTGTATAGTGCCTTTCACGTCGGCAGGACATCCCAAGGCACAGGACAGTCAGAGTTTCGGACCCGAGCTGGGGGTTGAAGTCGGGGCGTGTAGAGGGCAGGGCAGGGAGATCGAAAGCACGGTCGAAGAGGAGGGTCTTGAGATGGGTCTTGAAGGAGGTGAGGCAGGGGGTGAGGTGGAGGGACTGCGGGATGGAGTGCCAGAGGGTGGGGGCAGAGTGGCAGAAGGCCCCCCAATGGTGGGGCGAGAGAGGCGGGAGACGTGAAGGATGGTAGGGGGGTTAGGAGGTGACAGAGGTCGGGGGGAGCAAGACCATGGAGGGTTTTGAAGGTGAGGACCAGTATCCTCTGTGTGATGGGAAGCCAGTGGAGTCGGGCGAGGATGGCGGTGATGGCGTTGCGGAGCCGGTGCGGGAGAGGACACGAGCTGCGGAGTTCTGGATGACCGGCAGCCCGTGGAGGGAGGTTGGGGGAGGCCGACAAGCCGGGAGTTTGCCCCTTACAGGATATGTTGTGAAACAATAATATACTGTGACGATCCTATAAACATGAAGACGCCCAAATTGGACGTGAAACCTACCCAATCTGTCCACACAGTGTGTGTGTGGGGGGGGGAGAGAGAGAGTGTGTGTGGGGGAGAGAGTGTGTGTGGGGGGGGGGGGAAGAGAGAGAGTGTGTGTGGGGGAGAGAGTGTGTGTGGGGGAGAGAGTG